ATTTCTCGAGGGTTTCCAGGGAGCGCTTCCCCTTTCTGAGATGTTTGCAAATGAACCCCCTCTAAAGGGAAGCCCAGATCAGACTGATGTAGCACAGCTGGCTTTTGTGGTAAACTGTCTCTTCGGGAATGAAGAACGACCTGGGAGAGAAGCTCAAGTCCACGAAGAGACGATGTGGAGCTAGGAGAGCCGTGCTGCAGAGACTAAGAGGAGAGGCCGCTCCGCAGGAGCTAAGGAAGACAACCAAAGGCATCAACTCAGCCGGTCCTGGGTATTTAAACACTCAGCACGAGGGGCTGAGAGACAGATCAGGGCTTAAGAACGCTTGCTGCTTTCGCAGAGGACTAGAGTTTAGGTCCCAGCACCCACATTGGAAGCTCATAACGGCCTGTAGCTCCAGCTCCAGGCAAGCCAACACTTTTTGGGCCTCTGTGGGTGTTTGCATACACATGCCCATGCACACACACACAGAGAGACAAACACACATATAAAAATAAAAGTTATTTAACCTTTTAAAGAAATCCAAGTGGCTATCATTTAAGTAACTGTACTTTGTTGGGTCTCCTCGTCACTTTTTTGTGTCTGAGACCAAACACCTGCCTCCCCTTTCTTCCCACCCCAGCTGCCCACCCCCAGAAGAAGGAAGGTTTATTTTGGCTCATGCTCTCAGAAAAGCTTCAGTCCACTGTGGCGGGGAAGCACGGTGGTTAGAAATGCTCCATCGGTGGCAGCAGGAGCATGAGGCAGATGCTGGACACGTGACTTATTGGCAGACGTTAAAAGGTCAACCCCCCCGGTGATCTAGTTCTGCCAGCCAGACCCCACTTCCTAATTCCACAACCTTCAAAGAATGCTCTGGGATAAGGACCAAGCATTCAGATCATGAGCCTGTGGGGAATATTTTGGATGCAGGCCTTAGCATGGAAGTCCCAAGCACTTGCTGCTTCTCCATATTGAATACTAAGGACCATCAATCAATAACTGCTGGACAAAATAGCTGGTGGAGGAGAATGAGAACATTCACAACAGAACATAGATATCTGAGGAGAGGTGATGCCCAGCATCCCCATCTTATCACTGCTCACTGTATTCATGTGTGAAATGTCACACTGTCTATACACCATATGTGAATATGCTTCCATTGCATCAAGTGGAAATAATACGAATATTTGTTAAATGATTAAATAAATGATTTTCCAGGCCCAGGTTAGATGTTGGTGTCATTTGCTGAGAAAGAGAACAAGTCTAGAAGGAGAACAATGTGGAAGATTTTTTCTTACCAGGGTTCTGGAACCTTTTTGGGACTCGGGGCACTAGGCAGGCTTGTACAGGAGACAGGAAGTCTATTTAATGATATGACATGTGCTCCTGTTCACCAGAAGGAATCTAGCCCTTGTATCTGGACTGAGTTCTGGGGTCACTGCTAAGCAAGATGGTAAAGCTTTATGGTTGTTGAACTGTGGAAGAAAGGAGTGGAGCAGGGCAGCCAGAGTATTGGGGTTAGGGCTGGTACAAATTTAAGAATAGTACTCAAGGTTGCATCAGTGAGGACATGGTAAATCAGTCCTGGGCTTGAATATGGACAGAAAAGCTAAGCTGATTGGAAGATACCACTTAGCACAGTTTGGGGAAGACGCCTCAGCTCCTCCTGGAGACACCTGGGCGGCCAAGGATGGAGGGTACACTGACGGAGTGCTTGCCTGGGCTGGAAACTCACTCCTAACACCACCAGCCTCACACCACCAGTGAGCTCATCCAATGAAGGTGCTTTCTGCGTCTCCCGCTTTGTCAGAGGAAAGCCCTGAGTTGCTGGGAAGGATTAAATGCTGGGACTGTGCTCAGGAACTTGGAGAACATGCCAGTGATGACATGGGCAGCAAATGGCAGACCCATGCAAAGGCCTCTCGGCATTCAGCTGTCATGTGATCTAAAGTAGGAGCTGGAAGTCAAGAGGGGGAAATCAGTTGCTGCCATTATGGGGCTTTGAAGAGGCTCAGTGATACTCTGGTGACCCAGGAGCTCAGAAGTAACAGGGAAAGTCTCTAGCTGCTAGGTCAAGCAAGACTTGGACAATACATTTGTCCCCACGGCAGGGTTCCTAAGTGCTGAAGGATGCACGAGGAATTCAGAACAGTCTTGACATTAGAATCACCTTGGTTGGGTTGTTTTTATATGTTTATGACCACTAATTAAAGAAAAGGGGACCAGGAATTTGAGGGGGTCATGGGAGGAGATGGAGGAAGGAAAAGGAATGAATAGAAATGATGTTATTATGTTTCACACTTAAAATGTTAAAAAAAAAAACAAAAATGGAAGGAGTTGGTGGACTTGGAAAAACAGAGCCATTGTTTGTCTCTGTTCCTCCATAGTGAACCATGATCTTCTGTAGAAAATAATGATCCCAGATGTTTCTGAGTGAGTGAACAAGCATGGAGCCGAACCCATCTCTCCCTCCTTCAGATCTTCCCGATGTACCCTGACCATTCACTGTAAGGTAAAGTTTAGATGCTTTGTCCTAGAACTTCAGGCTGGCATGATCTCACTTCTGCCTGCTGCTCCGTGCCCATCCCATCCCATCCCTATTGCTGGGTGTGATGAATCTGTGTTTTGCTCTTCTCAATGTTCTGGTCATTTCAAAAACCTTAGGCATTTTGGATGGAAGAAGTTTGCTTGTTTGTTTGTTTTCCTGTACATATCATCTCTGGTGAGGCTTCCCGTCACAGTCCAGGACACACAACTCAAGCGAATAGCGGTCATTTTTAGAAACTGATGTAATCCCAGAGGGAGAGGAAGCCTCTTCTTCCCTCTGTGGCTCTTGGCTAACAGAGGGCAACACAAGTCTGAAGCCCTGCCCACAACGGCAACTTGTCTTTGGTTGGAAAGAAGAACATACACAGAGAAAAGCAGAAGCAAGCCAGCCAGCCAGACGGGAAGATGGGCACACACCCTAACCCATGCGCGACATTGCCAGACTGAGTCTGTGTTCCATGTGCCACTTCTTATGAACCGACTCATTCCTCTTTTTATTTTTACTCTTTTGAACCTCAGTTAATACTCAGCTATACCAGGCTGCTGACAGTTCCCATGATTCTGCTTGTGTCCTTTCCAGATTCAGGTGACACAACACTCAGACAAGGGATCCAGAGGGGACGGGAAACCTGAGGGTGGCTCCTGGGCTTAACGGGTCTGTTTCAGGCTACACCATGTGGCCACATATGTTTCTCAGATGATCTTGGTACTGGCTTCCACACTACCACAGGAACTGCCCAGTTCTTTTGCTCCATTGTCTCTCCACCCCACTTCTGCCCCATTTAAAGGGGTTGGCAGCCATTTCCTCCCCACCCCCACCCACGTTCTACTGCTAGTGGAAGATTCCGGAAGCCCAAAGCTATAGGCTCCAGATCTGCAGGTCTTTCTTACAGACTCAGAGCAAGTACCCCAAAGTCCTCCACCTTACAGAGGTGATTAGCTGTGCATGCCAAATCTTCCCTTCTGGGTTTGAGCGGAGTGTGAGAGTTGGCTTCACAGCCTTCTAATGCCTTCAAGACTTTCAAACAAATGGGTAGCAAAGGTTTGGAGACCCTTAAGTCATTCTGTTTTAACTAGCTGAGTGACAGATTTCAGATGTGAAACCCACCAGGCATTCTGAGGGAGGAGGATGGCACCAGGTAAGCAGGCTTAGGGGATGTCATAGATGCTTTGGGGGAAGGGGAGGGAGAGAAGGGAAGGGACACTCAGTGGTTATGGCTCTGCCAAGATGGCACAGGACACAAGCACCATGGCCCAGCAGAAGAGCCCATGCAGCTTGCCTAACACATCAAGAGGTAGGCCTTGCAAAGATCAGGCGGAGGTAGACGTTTGGCAAAGACTCTTGAGTGCCGGGCACAGGACTGAGACGCTTAGTCAGACCTCATTGGCCACAGTTGACTCTGGGACTCCATCTGTGAGGGCGTATCCTTTAGCACGTACAGAGGCACGCCTCGATGCCCTCTCCTAGAATCAGGAAAAGCTGACGTCTCTCTTCCTGGCTTCCCATCTCCACCTTGTCCTTTCTGTGGTCTTGGGTCTTGTGACTCTGACTGAAGTGGTGGCATCTATACTTCCCAACTCAGGATCCCCGTGTCCTCTCTCTCCTGCCACCACTGCCCATGACAAACCCTCCCCACCTGTAACTCAGCCGTGGCTCCATCCTCAACCATCCACCCCTGGGGTTTTCCCCTGGAACCATTTTTAGTTCATGATTCATTAGATTCCAGCTGCTCTTCCTGCTGTGAAGTCTGAAGTGGGGGTTCCTGGACTGTTAGTTTTGGTTTTGCTTCATTCATTAATTTATTTTTGTTCTTAATTTCCTTCCTACTTCAAGGACTTGGGAGAATGCATTTGCTATGGTCGCTCTCTGGGCCAGACCCACTGAATGGGAGGAAATATCTCAGCATGCTTCTTGACTACTAATTATGTTTCTAGAGTGATGCACTTGGGGTGGAGAGGGGGTCAACAGGCAGCCATATCTAGAGGAACCTTGGAAAGAACTTGGGCACTGGAGGGAGAGCGAGCCTGAGTGGGAAGCCAGTCCAGCAATGCCAGCCATGTTACTGGACTCAGGAAGGATCTGAGCCCCCCTCTTTCTTTTATCTTCATTTGTAAAGTGGAGGTTTTTTTTTTTTTTTTTTTTTTTTTTTTTTTTTAAAAATACCCACTTTGCAGAGCTGGGGTACCTCTGAGGAGTAGCATTTACTCAGTGAAGCTGAGATTGTACGTCTATTCTGGCCTCCTAGAGTGGACGAGCCCACAGTCATGCATGGAGACAACGGTGCAATCATAGCAGATCTCGTCTCCCACGCAGGTTCGTCTGCCCCACCTCACCCCCGCCCCTCTTCGGTTCTGGAATAGATTGTCCCCAGTGCTGGTGACGAGATTAGCACATCCACCCAGGCCACTTCTGCCTCAGTGGCAAAGAATAAAAGATCCAAGGGGGAAAAAAAGTCACGCAGAAGGAAGCACCTGGAAAAGATGTCTTTATGTTCTTACATGGAAAAAGGTAGCGAAGCCTATAGCGCAACGATACAGATTTCTCTGAAAACTCGTGTCAACGAAATCTGTTTCAGCTGCAGTCGTAATTCAACACTTGCCAAGTGGAAATTTGGGGTGGGGGATGGGAAGGAGGCCTAGCAAGGGAAAGATAATGATTATGCGCTGTTTCTTTCTTAAGAGTCTCAACTTTCCCAGCAAGCCAGAATTACATAAACAGATGCCACGCTCAGCTATGATTGGGTAAACATGCAAAACTCGGCAGCATGGTGGCAGTGGTGTTTTAAGGGGGAGCCATATTAAAGCCTGATAGAAGGAAATATGAATGGGATCTTTGGAGCAGTTCCCTTTCTCTGGACGGACGGGTGTGGATGGAATCACTAAGCACTTGGTTCACACATAACTTAGGAAGGGGCTGTGTGTCTAAAAGCTGACCTTGTAAACAAACATGAAGGATATCTTACAGTCAATAGTCATGGTTGGGAGGGAGGAACTATTCTCTGAAGAACGCACGGGGCAATCCCTCTGGCCTGTTTGCTGATTGCCCTACTCTGGGTCAGGATGTGTTCACACTGCCGGGGTTTCCTGCGGGATCTAGCACCAATATGTGGACTGGATTTGACTTGGATCTGAGTCCCTCGCGTCTTTCCTTTTGAGTATACTGAGGTATGTTTTCTTTGGTTTCTCTTTTGACAAATGTGTAGTATATATATATAAAAAACCTGTAATATTTACAGCATTTTACACTTCAGTGTCGACTCTTCACATAAGAAAAATTAGAAAACTCTTTAAGAATCATGGGAAGGCTATTACTTCCTAGCGTCGGTCATGAAACTGTTTTCAATACACAGGACGATTAGCCGATTAGCACAGCTATAGGCTTTCTGGTCCAGAATCTTCCCTGTGCTCAGTGGGGAGGCAAATCCTGTTACTGCCATGTCTGTGGTTCGCCAGGCTTCACAGTACTTATCCACAAGACGGACACCATGGGGGTTGGATCCATGCCAGATGACTTTCTGGGGCCTAGGAAGGAATTTTAGAGTGTTACTTTTTAAGTGGCGTTTTTAAATAACATCAAGTTCTTTATTTCCTAATTTATTTTACAATTATTGTGTTGTGTGGTTTGTGCGTGCGTGCATGCACGCATATATGTGTTTGTATGGGTGTGTGCGGCCGCATGCGCGTGGGCATATATCAATACTGGGTATCTTTCTCAGTCATTCTCCACCTTATTTTTGAGGCAAGGTCTCTCACTGAACCAGGAGCTTGCTAATTTAGCTGGATTTGATGGCCACCAAGTCCCAAGGATCCACCAATTTCTACCACTCAGGGCTGGGATTTACAGGTGCATGCCATCCACCTGTGGGGATCTGAATTCAGGTTATCACACCTGTGTAGCAAGCATTTTACCCTCTGCGCCATCACCCCAGTTCTCAAATGACAACCTTTTGTGGTATATCTTAGTAAGTGAATTGGCATAAGTATTGTGAACTTAGACACATTCCTCCTCCTCCAAAGTCCATGATCCAAGCCAAATCCTCTTTGTGGCCTTGTGATGTTACCAGCTTTCTAGGCATACTCTATTTCCAGCCAGACTCAGTTTGCAGCATCTCCCAACAGCATCTTTAGTTTTCACAAATGTGGACCATTGCTGCTGAGGTTGCTTCTTCAGTAGCCTCTTTCACAGCCAGACTTGTGACTCCTTCACCTTAGCGGCCTCCTTTTGCAGGACTCTGCCTTTGAGTCTCACCCTCAGAAACAATGGCTCCTCTCTGCTCCTCTTGTCATCTTTCTCTTTCAAAACTACAACGCTGTCCGCATTTCTATTTGGTCTGTTATCTACTGCCCCTTGACACCAAAGACCCTTACAGTGAAGGGGCCAGGTAAGTGTATTATTGTGCCTTCCAGACCTAGCGTAAAATGTGCTAGAGCATAGACACTGAGTATTCTGAACAACACATATTGTTTTCAAAGCTTGAGAGGCCCATTTATAGGACAAAACTACAGGGTCACCAGTTACATCATGTCTATGGCATACTGTGTTTCCACCCACAATCATCTGCACAACTGTCCTATGGCGTACACACGATGGTCTACTCATTTGACAGGCAGGTGAGGCCGTTGAGATCCCTAGAGTGAAGTGCTTTGCTCACGTATGGTAGTGAGCTACTAGACCTGGGTCCTCTGGCTCCAAGGCCATGGCTTTGCCATGACTCAGCTGCCTCCCTGTGGCTTCGGATTGGCAGTACTCCAGGGCAGTGCTGATAAAGGTATCTCATTGTTAGAACACATCCTAAAAACACCTATCGTGCCGCACAACAGGGCCCCAGTCCGCACTTACCAGGAAGGATCCGTCATCACATCTCGACCGTCAAAGGAGTATATCGGAATGTGCGTATTGAACTGGCCTCCATCACCCGAGAAGATCGAGTCCCAATTGTTAAAAAGCACCTGGCCCTATGAAGAAAAACACCACATTAGAATTTTTGGGTCACTGGCCTACAGTTAGGCTTCTGCTTATTCTTGAGGGTTCAGATGTCAGCTCTCCTGAAGTCCCCAGCTTGGAGATTCCTCTCCTGCTTTGAAAAGAGAAAAAATGGGGCCATGAGCTATGGTCCCTTGGGGACTGGCGTGCCTGAGGGCAGTGATGGAGGTTGGTCTTTACCTTGAGGTTCACAATGGGGAGGCTGAATCTCTCGGCTTTCCTCACAACTGTGGAGAGATCCTGCAGGTGGGACGACAGGAAAGCTCGGAAGGTGGACAGCAGTCCCGCAGCCCTGGCCTGCTGGAAGCACTGGAAGTCAGCTCGGATGTCCCCGGCCACCGGGGTGTTCAGAGCAATCAGGTGCAGCTGCAAAGAGGAAGGCAGTGTAGTTAATGGCGCTGCCACCGCCTCCTGTTTTGGGCAGGAGCCATCTTCTGGTTGCAAGGTGTGCCTTAGGCTTCTTGGCCACCTGTAAGGACAGTGGAACTGCCCATCCCCAGTCAAGACAGCCTTGGGGCTCCAGCCAGCTCATGGCAGCTCTGTGAACAGTCCTTGGGGTGGGAATATTTTTCTTAGATTTTAAAAAAGAATGCAAAAATTCTCCTTGGACCAAGCGAAGCCCTTTGGAGATCTGTTCAAGCCAGTGGGTCATGCTCGAACACTCTGGATACGCTCCTAGCTTAGTTCTCACCACGGCTTCTAAGTTGACTTTTCCCTGGCTCCCAAGCTTCTTCCAGCCATTGCTGGCTGCCCTTACTTCTTCCTGAGCAGACCAGGGGCTGATCATGGGAGACGCCCAGGAATGGACTCACAGCATTTATCAAGACAGCTGGGATGGAACCTTCTAGAAACTAGGGTCATATAGCTACTCTAGGCTCCTGTTCTCGACACCCTGCTCATCAGCCCCCAACAAAAGCCATTCTAGACTTTGTTTGCTCTCATACACTGGCATCCATTTGTTGACCTCTCCTTCAGCCTTTCTGCTGGAATTCCATATGAAATACAGTCCACAGACTGAGCATTCACCCTCTCCCGTTCCCTAGCCTCATTGGAAGAGTAAGAAGCTTGCACTGACCTCCAAATACAACACACACACACACACACACACACACACACACACACACAGGCACAGAGTCACACACCCCTTACACACAGATACAATATTTGAAAATTAAAACCCCAATATACTGCGTTAAAACCCCATTAGCCACTTTACTAACTTTTGGGACTCATTGAAGGTTTACCTAAATTCACTTCTCTCTCCCCTGAGCATTTGCTCCTAGAATCTTGGTCTCAAAAATGCTTTATGCTCTCTTCTAAATCTGAAGGGCACTTTCGGTCATTTTGCCCCATCCCAGCCTTTGACTCTGGAGTACCTCCTTTGGCCTTCTTTCTTTGTCTCAGCCTTGGCCTCTCATTTGCCTCTCCTGTCTCTTCCACCAGCCTCTCTTTGCATCTGTCCCTGTATAGACTCTCTTCGGGACTCCTGCCACACACACCCATGACGATGGCCATAGCTCTGCTGACATCTCCAGGTGGGTTTAACACATTCATGCTCTACCCCCTCCTTCTCACTCTCACTTGGGTGTCCTGGGACCACCTCAGACTTACTCTGCTGACCCTGGAGGTGCCAGCATTCCAGAAAGCATATTTCTTCAAGACCTTAGGCCTCTGACCCTGTCTCCCTGCTGCTCTCTGTTGGAGTGGGAATGAGTAACTGATCTAAGACAGAACCTGGAGAATGCTCCTCCCATTCCAGAGTTCAGTCAGACTCTGAACTGACTTAGGTGGGTTGGGTTCTCCATCCATAAGGTAAGAGAGTTAGGGCACGAGAGAGCGCTGTGGCAATCCAGAGCTGTGTGCAAGCTCGTGCATACCAGGCCTGTATGGGTAGGGCTAGCGAGGGTCACTCTTCTACAAGGAGGTCTGTGCAAATAGCAAAGCGTCTGAGAGCAGGGACAAGAGTTCCCAGGCTGGCTATACGTCCTGTGATCAAGCTCTATGACGTCCCTGAAGTGACCGGGGCATAGTCTTTATTTACACTAGTGAAGGGATGGGGTGCACCTCCAATCTCCACCCTGCCAGATGATGCCCGGGAAGGAGTGTGTGCCCACTGCATCAGCCCAGTGGGGATTGGGCATCATCCGCCATCTCACTTATTCTCCCAGCAACACTTGCACCAGGGGACCAGCCTGGCTTCCCCTGTCTCTTCCCGTGTCTCCCACCAGCCTGCTTCTACAGCCCACAGCCTTGCATCCCTGTTCCTGTCCTTTCCAATGGATTTGCACACTCAAACTAAAGTCATTTCAAGATAACATCCTTACCACTTCCCCTTGCTCTACACTTAACTTATCCATAGCTCTCATCGATTGCAGGAAAGGGTCATAATCCCTAGCTCTGGCCCTTGTGAGCTTCTGTAGCCTAAAGTTTTTCCTCTGATGTGAAGTCTATTCCTCTGGTCAGTTTGAAATGCAGTCAGGAAGGAGAAGCACACACACCCCACCCTCCCATGCTCCATCTTCCCCTCTGCCGGGAATTCCTCCTTTCATTTTTCCCTGCCTGAACATTAGTGTCCTTTAGGTCTGCAGCTTGAAGTCACCTCCTCTGGACTGACTGCCTTTGTCTTTCTGGTGACCCCAGCATCTCAGGTTTGCCTCACTAAAATAACCATGATCCAATTGCCCATAGTGTGTGTGCCCTCCTGGCTAGTTGGTAAGCAAGAGCTATTTACCAGGGCTGCAGACGTGGCCCATCAATTGAGAGTACCTGCTGCTCGAATCAAAGGATTTGATTCCCAGTACTCACATGGTGGCTCGCAGCTATTTCTAACCCCAGTTAAAGGGGATATGATTCAGATTCCAGACCTCTGCAGACATCAGGCACGCACATGGAGCACATACATACAAGCAGGCAAAAAAAAAACCTCATATATGCGAAATAAAATAAATCTTAAAAAGAAAAAAAAAGGAACTAGATACCAAACACAGGGCTCAGCACTTACAGGCACACGCACATACTCATTCTCTGCAAAGCAAACGTATGACTTGTACTTACAACGGGCCGCTGGTAGTTGGCACTTAAAATGGGGTTCAGTGGAGGCTGTGGCTGGTACGGCTGCGACGTGAAATGGGAAAGGGAAAAGTATGAATACATTCAGAACACACACTGGACTCTCCAGGGTACAATGAGGGACGAGTCTAATGTCTCCTTTAACTAAGTTTAAAATGAAGCTTTAAATAGCTGGGCACTGCCTTTAACTGTGACTCCCAAGTGGGAGGACTTCCATGGCCAACTGAAAAAGTCATCAGCAAAGGATGGAGTGTTCTCAGGCTCTTTAAAACCGTCCCTGAGCTGGAGAAGCAGAGGACCTCAGCTTAAAAGCCAACATGTCTACCTCTTCAAAGGTTCAGTTTTATAATCTAATGGGGTGACGGTAGCGGGCTCCAGGGGTTGCGGTAGAATTCAACATCAGGCTGTGCTCTTTTATGGTTGTGAGTAAATGTCAAAGGTCGGCCTGGTCGGTGTGCAATGCACACCTTTAATCCCAGCATTCAGGGAGCAGATCTCTGAGTTCCAAACCAGCCAGGACTACTAGTGAGATCTTGTCTCAGAAAAAGTAAACAAAAGAGGGAGGGATTCTTCTAGACGGTTTGTGGGTAAATTGGGAACAGGGGTCTCCAGCCTCTGCACCCAGGTCTCCCTCCACTCTGTGGTGACAACATTCTGTCTAGTAATTATTGGGCTTCCACGAGGTGCTAAGTCACACGGAACAAGTTGGGCTTGGAGAGCTTGATCCAGGTCCTTGGGGGCACCCAGGAAGTAGACAGCGGAGTTACTCACATTGCTGGAAAGTGCTGGTGGTGGGGGGCTGTCATCAGGGATGGGGATTAGTTCTCCCAACTGCAAGAGAAGGGAGATGTTGTTCATGAAAAGCTGTAAGAAACAGCTTCCAAGATAGAAAGCTGGCACTAATGGGAGTTCTTCACATTGGAGGGTCTGTGGAGGGGAGAGGGTTAGCAAGGAAACTGAAGAATTACCTGTAACCTTTTCCAACCATCTCGGACACGAATGAAAAACTCTGCACTGTCCCTCAGGTAGATGAACGTCCCCTCTATCACCAAGTGTGCTTTCTGCAGCATGTCACCCATGTCGTTGAGTGCCGTGACCTGTCAGGGCATTTTAAATTCCAAATTGTCATGAAGCAGTAGCAAAACGTGATGCACATTTTGAGAACTAACCCCTCATTCAAAAAAAAAAAAAAACCAGGTTTATTGCATTGAACAGTGCTGTGTAATACTAGTTAATAGCTAAAGTTATTTGTTAATAACTAACAAATAAACTTATTAGTTAATAACTAAAGTTATTCAGTGTTCTGGCTCAAACCCAAGACCTGTCCAAGCTAGGCAAGTGCTCTACCACTGAACTACATCACCAGACCACAGTTGTTCTCTCTCTCTTCCTCTGCGTGTGTGTGTGTGTGTGTGTGTGTGTGTGTGTGCGCACGCGCACGTGTGCAGTGAGGTGCCAGATGTAGTCACGTGGTCTTTTCTATTATCATTTGTTCTCGACCTTATCTTTTGGAGCAAGGTCCCTTAATGAACCCAGCACTAACTGATTGTCTACACTGCCATCCAGCAAGCTTCGGTGATCCACTGTCTCTGCTCCCACTCACCTAGCACAGGGTTACAGATGTGTGCAACCAAGCCACGTTCTGTTTTTCAAAGTGGATACTAGGGATAAATTAGGATCTCCATGCCTATGTCCGGGCACTTGACCTGCTGATCTTCTCCTCAGCCTCTAGTTTTTTGAGACGTTTTCCCTACAGCCAAGACATGCCTTGAACTCAATAATCCTTCTGCCTCAGCCTCCCAAGTGCTGGGATTTCAGGAGTGTACTATCATGCTTGGCTAAGGGAGTTCTTTTTCAAGAAATAAAAACAAGCATTTCTTTGAATCACAAGTCTAAATTATAAGAAATGAATAAAACCCAAAAGATAATTTCCTGTGAAGATAAGGATGTTGCGCCAGAGTTATCTTTGCTGGGTTTTGGTTTTAGCAAAATCATCAGCACATTGCCTTTTCTTCCCCTGCCACTTGCATTGATTTCTAACACAGCACTGTAGCATCTACACTGGCTAATGGTGCCATCTCACATTCCTTAGTGACTTTCAAATCCATTTTCATTTGGGATGAGAAATGCAAGCAAGTGGGCAATTATGCTTAGCACTTAGTCTTTAGTCTAGCTGGATGGTTGCAATATTAAATATGTGTTTAAAAAGTGGGGGCTTGCAGCAGCTCTGTCTCAAAAGTTGTCTAAAATAAGAATGGCAGATATTTAGCATCTCCAGAAGCAGATTCAGGAAGCTGAGACTGCAAACACTATTCTGAATAGCACCAAGTCTCCAGGAACTATCAGTTGAGAATCTCATTGTAACTGAGAAAAAGTCCCCACATTTTTTTTATCTCACCTTGACGATAATAACATTAATCAAACTGACATAGAAATCCCCAAAGAGGCAAAGTGCCAAATTTTGTCATCTGCTGGACAATTCTGTCTCTTGAAGGTCTTTTTTTTTTTAAATGAAACCCAGTAACCACCAAAGAGGTTTTCTCAGACTGCTGCCAGTCTGGTAGGTGCTTGTCTGTCTCTCTGTGCATTGTAACTATCCAGGCAAGCCATGCCCACTGCAGTACACTGTGGGGTTGTGAATGCCCATACACCATGCTCCAGTCGAGCAACAACCCAGTGTCAGTATGACCATCAGAGCACCTATGGTGTTGTTTACACGTGTGTGCATGCTGTTTTTAAAAATAGAAATAATTGGGTTTTAGTCTCTTAAAGAATCATAGGCTACAACGTCAATAATCAGTCATCTTGTTTTCTGTAGCTCTTTATTGAACATGTCGTCTGAATAGGAAATAAATGGCCATCTATTGTTGGTGGAATGGCACATTCTTTTGTCATGGAATTTTATTTGTTTGTTTGTTTAGAGATAGAGTCTCGTATGTATCCGGCCTCCAACTTGCTGAGGACAAACCTTGAGTTTCTGATCTTCCTGCCTCCATCTCGTAACTGCTAAGGCAACAGGTATCTGCCACCGTGCCTGGTTTTATGTGATGCCAGAGATCAAACTATGACTCCTACATTAGGAAAACAGTCTACCCACTGAGCTACATCTCCAGTCCCTGTTAGAGAGTTCTAATTCCAAAATAAAAGGGATTCCAAACACTGTCGCCAGAGTCTGAAGTAAGTCTGTCCAATGTGGTATGGCTACTATACAACATACTGACCAAGTTTCTGGATCCCGGGAGTCCTGGCTGTCCTGGAGGGCCAGGTGGGCCTGGAAGGGCCACAGCTGGGACAAAACAAAAGAGAGGAGTTATACAAAGCATTGTGTCTGTCACAGGGGGTCCCTGCTGGCCCCCAAAGGGGTGCTCACAGTCCCTTCCATGCTGAGGGTTATCCACCTTACAGCTGGAAATGGGGGACTCTGACCCAGAAAGAGATTAAGCTCATACTGATTGGCTTAGGGGAAGAGCTGAGATTCTCCATCATCACCCCGATGAAGCTGTGCCCAAGACTTTTCAGAATTGTAAGGAAATCCCATTGGTGGTTATTTGTAAAAGCCAGTTTGAGTCGAACTTTCTGGTACTTGCATCTGAAACTACCCTGACTCTTGCAGTTTACTCAAGAGACAGAGCATGTGACCACCAAGTAGAGGAAGTGAACCACAGAGAGGGGAGGAAAGCGTCCAGGTTGATAGTGACAGGAGGGATGATCAGGTTGTCCCTTGCCAGCTGTGCATTTTAGGAAGCAGCAGGTGCAAAGGCTATTTGCCTGACATTGGCAGACAGTCCTTCTACTCCAACATTCTATTGGCATGCTGGTGAGAACCAGTAACATTCAGGCTGGGCATGCACACGGCAATCTTCCCAGAGTTTCTTACTTCTTGGCGTGTCACAGGACCCTTAAAAATCAGCTTAAGGCTGCCATATTGATCCCCAGAAAAATGAAAGGGTGCGAGTGTCCAGTTGAAAGGTCCTTGCCTCGGGCAATCACAGATACAGAAGTATTGGTTTTTCTTCTGCCTCTCTAAGCTGCATCCCTTCAGCATCTGCACAGTTCTTGGCAGATGCAAAGATGTCTCTATAAGTCCTAGAAAACAACTGCATTGACTCTTCAGGACACCGCAAGCAAGCCTTACCTCCAACACAGGGCTGGAACGTCCACACATAGGCGGTAAGTGGCCAGTGGAGGACTTGGATGTGGGTCCAGCCATGTGTCCCTCGAGCATGAATGACCTTGAGCAAGTCATATGTCCTCTCTGGGCCTCAGTGTCGGCCTCCTTGGAGTTATAATACTATCCACTTCACCCCCCTTCAGCATCACTGGGAAGTCTATGTGGGAAGTGGCTATGCAAGGGTTTTATATACTTGGACTTGTCATGCATTGTGTGAAAGACAATCCCTGCTCAGTGCAGCAAGGTGTCTGGATCCCCCTAGACTGGTGCTTTTGTGGACCACAAATTCTCTGCATCCCGCACTCACGCTGCCAACCGCCTGTATCTTCTGCAACGCCTCTGCATCCCTCCAGGCCCTGTTGGCACATCTGGTTTTATCTACCCAGTCTCTTTTGCAGATCAAAGTCCTCATAGTCTTCTCCTGAGGTCTTTCCCTTCACACCCACAGCCATTTCCTCGCAGAAAGAGCTATTACGTTCTCAAGTGGTCCTCCCTCCTGACTATAGATGATCCGTTCAAAGTTGGCACCTAGCTCAAGACAGGCCAATAATAATCTTTTCCTGGAACTGCCCTATTCCAAGATATTTAGGACTCGAGCTAAGAAAGGAGCTCATGATTTCCAGCTCACAGCGGAAGCACTCAGCTGTCGGTAACCATCTTCCCCTCTGTGCAGAGGATGTGGTCTGTGGAGAGCAAGGAGGAAGCTGGTACACAGAAAAGATAAGGCAGAGCTTCATTATGGGGTTTAAGTCTTAGGTTCTGGCTGTTCTTGGGGTTCAGTTTCCGGTCTACTCATCCCACAAGCTGATTGCTTAGCCCCTCCTTCCAGTGAGCAAACTTCCCTTCCACTCAGTCTGCTCTGAGCCTTGTTTCTGCTTCCAGCCAGTAAAGCCAAGGCCATGTTAAAGCCAGCCCCAGGCCACCCTCTGCAAGGCCCCAGGCTCTGTGGGTCTCCATCAGCCGTGCCCCACCGCACCTGGCTTGTGCCATGCAAGCATCAGGAAGCAGTCATGTGCTTACCCTGCTCCTGGATGAAGGTGTGCTCCAGAGGTCTTTACTTTTTAAGTTTTGGAATATTTACATATACATGAACTATCTTGGGGATAGGGCCAGCGTCATAAACTAAGAGTAATTTTATATTTTATCTATTTATTTTGGTGTGGTTCTGGGGATTGACTTGAGGGCTTCAGTTATGCTATAGAAACTCTTTACCAGCAGGATAAAGCCTGAATCCTCATTGTTTTAAATAGTAATTTTGGACATTAAACAGTCTCGGGGCACAGAGTTTCCACCCGTGGCACCACACTAGTGCTCACAAGGTTTCGGGAACTGGAGGGCTTCAGTCTCTGAGCTTTTGGGACTGGGGTGTTCAGCTCTATCGCCCTCCACAGAATGCCCACCTCGTGCACAATAAGGAAAACACAGGCCTTGTAGCTGCAGGTGTCCGGGGTCTGACACTGTGGGTGCCACTTACTGGCTATAAACTGGAGCGGCACATCGTCTTCATGTGTGTTTGCACCTGCACACACGCCGGGGTGTGTGGCGGTCAGAGGACAACCTCTGGTGTTAGCCTCTCTCAGGAGCCACCTGGTTTTTGTCCTTTAATCGCCCGAAGCTCACCAATTAGGCCAAGCTGGCTGACAGCGAGCCCCAGGGATCCTCTTGTCTCCACATCTCAGCCCTGTGATTATAAATGTGCACCACCTGACTGCTTTACATAAGCTCTGGGCTCCTGGATCCCCATGCTGGCATGGCGAGCACTCTGAGTACTTCCGTGAGTCACCTCTGTAAGCCTAACTATTGGTTTTCCCTAATCACCAGGAAACTGGAGCAAAATGGTCAGCAAACTTACCGGCACTGGTATTGCCCAGCGAACGTGTATTTCCTTTAATTCCACTCAGTTTTGCATTTGCATACTAGAAGTTCCAAGGGTTGATGGGAATTCAGCACCAAGGGTGACATTTAATGCTGGTCCTTAAGTCAAGTTTATGTCAACTTGACACAAACTAAAGTCATCAGGGAGGAAGAAACCTCAATTGAGAAAATGCCTCCATAAGATCAGACTGTACTCGAGCCAGTAGGGCATTTTCTTAATTAGTGATTGTTGGGGAAGGGCCCAGCCTATTGTTGTGGGATTCCCCTCTGTATGCTATGAATATGTTTTATTGTCATTGGTTAATAAAGAAGCTACTTTTGGCCAATGGTTTAACACACACATTCTCTCTCTCTCTCAATATATATATATTGAGATGGAGTAGGGAGTAGATGGAGTCAGGGAGAAGCCATGTAGTAGCTGGGGACAGATGCCTCCACTGGAGCCCACCAAAACTTTGCCAGTAGGTCACGACCTCGTGGTGATGCACAGATTAATGGAGATGGGTTAGTTTAGGATATAAGAGCTAGTTAGAAATATGCTTAAGCTATTGACCAAACAGTATTGCAAATAATATAGTTCCTGTGTGGTTATTTTGGGTCTGGGCAGCCAGGAACTAATGAACAGCCTCTGTTAACACATTGTGGATGGTTCAATCCCTAGGCTGATAAGAGAGCAGCCTGAGAAAGCCAGGAGGAGCCAGCCAGTAAGCAGCACTCCTCCATGGCCTCTGCATCAGCTCCTGATGCCAGGTTCCTGCCCTGATTGAGTTCCTGTCCTGACTTCCTTCAGTGATGGACTATGGATGTGGAGGCATAGGTCAAATAAATCCTTTCCTCCCCAACTTGCTTTTGGTTGTGGTGTTTCATCATAGCAATAGGAACCCTAACTAGGACATCCAGATTCTTAAGGCATTGACAAAACAGCCAGGAAGGTTCTAGAATATGTGAAGAGATGTTCAATACTATGGGGCACATGGAAAACTCAGAGAAAGCCACACAGAACAAACCACAGTGAGCTAGCTACTCATAGCTATCAGCACTGAAAAGGTTTCATCATGGGTGTTGGTGAAGATGAGGGAGACTGGGACCCTCCCCCAGTCTGGCAGCCTTGTGAAATAATGAGTTTACTTTGGAATGTAGTCTGGCAGTTCCTTACAGAGTTAAACATAGAGTTCCCTATAACCAGCAATTTCACTCTGTATGCACCCCAGAGAACTGAGGCCATGCTTCCACAAAACCTTAGACTCAGTCTTCATAAGTAGTAGTATGCAAACAGCTGGAAAACCACGTTGGGCGCCATTTGTAACATGGGGGGACTGCTTGTTTGTTGGGGTTTTCTGTTCTGCCCCGTCCTCCAGCTATTTAGTCCCAGAGAAAAAAAATCACACTGAAATCTCTGTAAGTTATAATGCTGATTGGCCCATTAGGTCAGGCTTCTTACTAGCTAACTCTCACATCTTGATTAACCCATTTTTCTGATCTATGTTAGCCATGTGGTTCAGTACCTTTTTCAGTGGGGCAGCTCACATCCTGCTGCTTTGGTGATTTGGGCAGGAGTGGAAAGAATCAACTTCCTTCTCCCCAGAATTCTCCTGCTCTCCTTGCATCATTTCCACTTCCTGTCTGGTTTTCCCACCTATACCTCCTGCCTGGCCAATCAGTGTTTATTTAAAACATGATTGACAGAATACAGACAATTCTCCCTCACCACTGATAACTCTAGGGTGTATCAGGTTGACATAGAACTAGCCAGGACATCTAGTTTATATATAATGTCCAGGGTAGGAAACTCCAGAGACAAAAAGGAGATCTGGAGAGGAAACTGCTTCCAGCAAAAATCAGTCTTCCTTCCTTCCTTCCTTCCTTCCTTCCTTCCTTCCTTCCTTCCTT